CAGTTGACCGATGTCCATGATTGTATGGACAATTCATTGATTACACATATAGCCTGTAACGCCAGAAAGGCAGCGGGTAGGCATCCCGGTCTGAGATGGAACGACCCTTCACCCGCTGACCAGGAGATATAACGCGCCCCTAGTGTTCTACCCACTGGGCCCTCACTCTGAAGAAAGGCAAGGGGTTTCCTAAGTGCTATATACGACAAATCAAAATGGGGTAAAAAGGGGAAAATGCCAACACAAACGAGAAGGCTCATCCAGGGATGTTACTTTATATGTTGTCGAAGTGCCTGAGCCCCCCCCCCCCCCCAGGCTGATTTTAAGGGAATGTTCCAGATTTGAAGATATTAATGCAAGCATGAGATATCATAAAATCAACCCACTTATGATTAGTGATATACTTAAGCGTCGAAACGACTGCTCTACAAGACAAAAGTTTCTGAATTTGGTATATACACTTCCCAATAAGGCATTGTTTGATTGCGGCATGAAACGTTTGTATGACAGTGAGGTACTGCAAGACAAGCCGTGCGAGATTGACACCCTAGTACGCACAGGTAGTACTTCAACTCGCTGAAAGGCTGCAATGGTGGTGCTGGAAGTATTTGTTGAGACAAATGTTGTTGTGCTCTTGTTTTTGCTGTTTCTCGTGGTGTTCTTGCAGATTTTTCCGCCAGTTTAACAATTCAATTTATATTCACATATTTGGTTATGGTGCAATCCTTAGCTTATCGACTACCAGCCTTTTTTCCGTACTAACTTGGCAACCATGTACAACTTTAAAGACCATGTAGCACAAAACACGATATGCACAATTTGCTCTACTTTAAATGAAATCCTATAGACATCCACTTGAGTTGAAAGTAGTACTCACGGACGGGGGATTTGAATGGCTTGAAACGTGTGCTTGGCCTCGCACGCCACGTCTATGAGGTGGCAAAATTTGGATGACGCTGCGACGATGCCTTAGGCGTACCTAAACGGCGTAAAGATAGCCGGAGAAAACAGCATGCGTATCTTTGAGAGCGTGTACCGCGGAAGTTAAGGGGCTTTAAATCTTAGGATGGCTGGGGTTGTAAACTGCACCAAATGACGTTCCAAATTGATTTCTCAACCAAAAAAATTAGAGCTTTTTTGCGGAAAATTACGTCTGTTGCATAGGCTTTTGCCATTTGAGACTCAACGTTTACGAATGAGCGTCCAAGGAATGTCATTTTTGAACAGTGTCAAACATGGGCATCGACGCTTTCACGGTTTCACGGTGGCTGCGAAAAAAGAACTGCCATGAGCGTCACAGTCGAAACAGGCTGTTCAACACGAAATTTTTCGATGAGTTGGCCAAGACCCCCTCGGCCTACGGTCCCTCGGCTCGTAATGGTGTATGGACAGACATGAATTTGTGACAGGCAAAGCCAGTGGCGGTTAGCACCAGGTGCCCGTGCCGGCTGCGGATGACCGTGCGGTGCTCCTGAAAAACCGCTACTGCTCGAAGAGCAGAAATGCTAGAAACACCTGTTTTGTGACACAACACGCGCAATGCCCCATGAGATACTGAAAATGTATGTGCAATTACACATGACATGCTGAGGATATCCTCAGAAAACCTAAGGAGAAGGCGTACCGCTACCCCTCACCACCCCCTCCCCCCAACCCCACCCCTGCTCCCTCCTATCGGGCCGAGGGCTAGACTCAGGGACGCATTCAAGATTTACTTAGGAAGGAGGGAGGCGGAGGGAGGGAGGCGAGCCCAGTGACTAAGCATCAAACGGATTTTTACTTCTTGTCGCGACCAGTTTACTGATCCATCCATGAAAAACAAAACACAACATCGTACCCAAGGCAAGGGGGTTCTCAAGTGGCGCTTGGCTGCGCCTGTTCAAATTGATTGCAACATAGTCTGATCCGGCCAGCCTAGATCCATGTGAGCTATGTAGCGGCTTAAAAACAAGCATTGCAGCTTTATTTCAGTCGCATATTTTCTAGCAGGACAATCATAATATACGTTATTTAAGTTAGAGGATGCACCGCCTTTGGAACTGATTGATACGAGGCCTGAACTGTAATTGTTGAAATAGGAGCCTAACACCGTATTAATCCCAAACTCTGTGTTAGTGATGGCACAGTCCATTGGTCAGGGATGGACTTTATTCCACTTCGCAACTGATGCCAAAGGAGTGATTTTCGGGACCGAACTGTACAGGATGTGCAGGTGCATGATTTAAGAGCTTCGAAGATGCAATTTTTCCATTGAATGCAGCATCATTGTTTTATAACTGTTGTCGAAACAAGGTAGGTACGTGTATCTCAAGCGGTATCGGATAGTGTATGATGGACGGTAATGAGTCAGGAGGGCCAGTAGGGCTATGCGCCATATTACCAATATCATCCATTCATTTCAAATACCGCAATCAAAGACAAACACCTGAATCTGGAGCTGTCTGCTATCATGTTTTCGCTATATTCTACCGATCGGCTTGTCTTGGGCTGATGAGGCATTGCATACACAAAATGCGCTATATTCCAGGTGAAAACATCATTGCTTCATACATTGAAACTACTCAAGGGACAACTGTTAGCATGCTTGTCATGAAATGGAAGAACAGAGGGAGTTAATCAATCATCTTAGCCATTGTATTGTGTCTGTGCTGAGATATATGTAATGCAATTAATTGTGTTTTGAACTTAATGCATTACTTTCTTACAGTAATTACCTCCGTTGTCTCAAATAGATATTTTCGGTGCTCATCACAATGCTGCCCTTTTTAAGACCTAAGCCGCTCTAGTTTCTGAGGTACATGTCTGCAGAAATGGGAAAAGGTATTTTGGGGAGAGTATTTTAAAGTCAACCTAGCATTCATGACGTCATAATAGCTTCATTTAAATCCCGTAATTGCATCACCCATGCGGTGATCAAGACTAAGAAGAACATAATTGTTGGGGCGTTCATGTCTGGCGCTCGTGAGCGCGCGGCCGTCAATTGGCTTTCAATCAATGCTGTGTAAGGTACGATGACGTAATAAAACCATGACGCAATGGGGGGAACATTTACTACACAGGGAATTGTGCTGTCTAGAGCAGTTTTGCTACCTAAAAGTATGTCAATGGTTTTAAGTGAGCTTGCTTCATCATATCTAATGCTGGATAAATTGTGTTCAAATGTGAAACACTCCGCTTAACCATGCCCTGCTGTGCCTGCAGTCTCCACAGAATATAACTGGTAAAAAGCTGGGAGTGATAGGTTTTGAGCTGCTTGTACCACATGCCATTATTTCTTGGTAGCAGATATACTGTCAATCAACGAGAGTGAAAGCATCTATTCGTGTATTTCAACAAGCATATAGAGCCAGAGCTTAGCCAAAATGGTTGTTGGGAAACCCATTGTTAAGTTGGGGATTTCTTAGGTCATTATTTACATGCACCACCGTAAATCAATGTTTCAACCCACTCATCACTGAGAACTGCCCACGCCCCCGTGTTAGCTTAAGCATGAGCAATTGCAACAATTCAGAGCAGTGAGAGAAGAGGATGTTTTCTCACGGGATATGAGCAAAGTAAGCTTCCCTAAAATCAGATTTTCCACCATGCGCATTTATTGCATCCTGGTATGCACAATGACCGTTATCACGTTAACTTTCCTTTCTGACTCTTTCGCCGCGTGACCCTTGCACAGGTATCAGGTGCGATCACCTCTTGAGCAGGGCTGTAGTTTCCTATTCAGTGTGGGAGCCACAGCTCTCCTTCCCCGCCCCCGCACACACTTAAAAAATGGTCCAGGTCATGGGGGACAACCAATTTGTCGGTGTATTTTGGCTGTACGTGTCGCAATTTTTTGGTGTTAACCTGTCCTCTCCCAACTATTTTTGCGAAACAACTCCCCTGCTCGCACAGCTCCGCTTTCCTTATCTTCATGTCATACAATGTGTGTTTCAACTAACTGCAAAGTGAAATTTGGATTGGTCGTGTATCACCACAAATGCAAGCAAGGAATACCGTAAACATTGGAACACAAAGCATACATTTCGGCAGCCTGCAAACCTACAAAAGTGGTGGCTTTGCTTGAACCATGTGGCTGCAGATGACAAAAATATGGTAAGGTGTGTGCGACCTTAGTGTTTAGAGGATCAGGGATGCAGGAGTGATAAGGTAACTTGGATGGAGCGGCGCAAGTGCACCATGAGGCAAGAACATTGTTTGTACTAATTATGGTGTAAAAGGGGTATGTTTAAATGCAACTATCAGCTGAATAACCCGCTGAAAGGCCTTATATGAGAAATGGTGTGGCATTTACAATGTTCGATAAGTGCACTGAAAAGATAGATAGGTGATGCTGGTGTGACTTTGCTTTTCAGCACGGATGAAACCGATCACTCCATCCCTCTAACACGCGCCCGGGTGGCCGGCTAGATACCCTTCGCTCGGGTGGGGGTCAATTTGACCCCCATAAGATCTCGGGAACTAAAGAAGCTAGAGACACTAAATTTATAGAGTGTCTTGACCCGTACGTAAACTGACTTAGGTGAAAGTTTGAGCTTCCCAGGTCATGTCCTTCAGGTCAAATAACGTCAAACAAGGTCAAATTCCAGGCTGGCCTCTAAAGTGCCCCCAGAACCTAGGCAACTGTTTCTGGGCAAAAGGTCACAAGCCCCTTTGAGGTCAGTGACCTTGTTTGACCTTTTGATCTTTTGACCAAAATCATACAAGATTGCTCTGAGTTTTCCATTTGAATAAACGACAAAGATTACGCTAGGCAGTATGTTCCTAAAACAAAATGTTGACCCGAGTCATCTTAGGTCAATGACCTGCTCTGACCTCTAAAAGTTAATGGAAGACGTATAATGCGGTTCCTGCTGTCAAACTATTCGAAATGAGCACCACAAACTATCCCATACAGCAAGCCCTAGAGTAATAAATCAGTTTGTTTTTGGCCTTGGCCTGACCTTCATACCTGACCTTAGGTCAACGTGATTTGCTCATTCAATATTTTTGGTACCTAAGAAAGCATCTCAGAGATGTAGGGCTCCGTCAAACTCTCCGTTATTGCATCAGATTGGACGATTCCCTAGGAAGTGCCTTCGTTGAAACTATGGCCTGACTTTGACCTGTCATATGCCAGTGAATTTACAAGGCACGTATAAATTTGTATGTCAAACGATCTGCTATTCAGTTGTCTACAGCTGTGAAAAATTTGGCGCGGCTGCGCCGCGCCGTTTGGAAACCATTCTGGAAAAATCTTCAGAGGGGTCAATTTTACCCCCGCCCCCACCCCACCCGAGCGCGTGTTAAACGAGAGGTGCGATGAGGTGTGTCCAAATACGAAGTACAACTCACGATATTCACTTCAAAATCATGCTGTGAATGCTTTGTGTTGAACATCTCGGGTGAGCCGTGATGCATGGAGCGTAGACAACTCATTTATGGACCAGCCAAATTGCTTCGTTTCTCGATATATATTATGAAATGGGACATTAGCGTGCTTTGGTGAATCCCGTCCCGGCGACTCAGCTGGTTAGCTCGCCTGCCTTCCGATCCACCCACGCGTGACGGTGTGTGATGGAGTCGCCACAACAGCTCGCTGTCTGCCTTCAACAGGTATGACTCGCGGCCGACGGCAGCGGACGCGCTAAAGGTCAGTTGACGTTAGAGGGCAGGACGGACCGTGCCGAGTGATGTGGTAAGCTAAACTTCTGCTACCAAATTCTGTCGTCGACCTGCGGTTGCGCGAGCGGGTGTGAAGTGTCAGTGCTCACACCACAAGCACTTCTTAACGTGAGCGCTGATCTCAGAAGCCATCCATTCAAAGTTTCGGATTCATTCATTTAAGAAATGCTGCTTATTTTCTGGATATTTCGTGAAATAATCAGATGACTATTCTTTTCATGACCATCCTGTATTGAAGCAGCGGAACTACTCCTTTGGGTTTTAGAACGCCTGAAGCGGAACACCCCAATATAAACTGTAATTGTTCACCAGTAACGAGAGCATATGGCATGACAACTCCTTTAGGATTATTACACCTATTAAGCACGGCGTCATTTGAGCATAACAAAAATACACGAGGCTCACAATTATCCTGATGTTGATAAAGAACTGTGGCAATGCTCCAACTAAGCAAGAAACCGAACAAAATCTTCTACTCCATGACCTCCATTACGCTTAAAAGCTGGTTTCCGTCGTGATCAGCACCGGCTCAGTGCTATTGCAACCAAGTTTTCAAATACTTATCTGGAAACGTACGTATTATGCATGTTAGGTGATCACCTTACCATTGCATAGTTATTTGCATTTTGTACCAGATGTCTCTGATGTAAACAGCTTTTTAGTGAAACAAAATGAAACGTTTCAAAACCACACGCAAAATCGATTCTGACCATCGCATCGTAAATTATGAACCGATAAGATAGAAGGCTAAGGTGTCTTAGAAGGCCAAGATGATCCGCAAAAATAATATTAATGCTGTGACCCCAGCATACGTACCCAAGCGAGACCTTACACGTGTTTTATCTATGCGCGATCGTGTTTCGGGTAGCCATCATCTCATATGATGCCATTAGACATACAGAATCATTTACACACACTCTGGGATCGGGGGACACGGGGCTCTGAAGCAGTTAAAGACTTGCTCCTTGCATTTCTTTCCGGGCGGGCAGATCTTGTTGGCGCATGTTATGGTTACGACAAGACGGCAGATCGGCGATGGCAGCAGCTGGCAGAACTCCTGCGGAGCAAAGCAGGTTCCGCAGGGATCTGAGAACAGAACAAAACATTTACGGACGTCGGGATGAAGGTGGTGTGCACAGCAATTCAGCGTTCTTAGCAGGGCAGGACAATGCGGTGCGCTCAGTGGAGATCAACAGGCACATTGCGTTGGAATGCATTGAGTTCGCGCAGTTGGGCTCGTCAGCGCAAACACAATAAATAGCGAATGGTAACAATTTAATGAATAGTAAATAACAAATGGTAACAAATAGGTGAATGGTAACAACATAATTTTACTTGCATTTTACATGCCAATCAGTAGGCACTCGCTTAAGTGAAACCATTGACCACGTTTCAGTTCAAAATCCAGGCTCATGTCAAAAGGTTTCGTCATATGCGTTGCGAAAAGAATCATGATAGTACTGGTTTACTGTGAATGAACTATTCATCATTGTCTGCTTGGTGAGATAATTGAATGTACTCACTTCTATTGACGCAAGTAGGTTTCGGGTCGCAGGGTGAGGAGTCACAAAACGCCTGTTGCAGAATACACTCTTGTCCGGCCGGGCAGCTGGTGTCAGCGCAGGTGGGGGCCGGCACGCGCACACAGACCGACACGTCTCTCTCTTCACGGCACTGGAGCGGCTCAGGACACGGCTGTGTGCCGCAGAGCGCCGTGGGTGTGGACCCGTCTGCAAAAATACAGCCTGACTAGGGAAGTCGGACAGGGTCCTCGTGGGTGTAGTTTACGGCCCCTCCCGACCGTTCAGGAGCAAAACCAAGAGCCAAATGTCAGCGCGTTCCAAATATGCACAATCACGCTGCAAATTTATGCCGTGTGAAAGCTACCATCATTGACGCGCGTTTGAATTTGCCTGGCCGATAACCAGGCACCGCCGGTACATCTCGATCAGTGACCAGACGAGAGATGGGCGATATGACGCGGCAGCCATTTCAAAGTTGACAAATGAGGCAAAATGTAAGTGCTTGCATGCCGTTGCAGTTGTCTTTCCACCACCCCACCACACCCACCCCTTTCCCCCGCTTGGTAAAACACAGCATCTGTGCGGAAAGAAATGCGAAGCAAACTTACCCACGGCGCCGACCAGAACCACGGCGAGGGCTACCAGCGTCAGCATAGCTGCACCAATGGCTGCTCGTCGTCACACTCTGCTTACTGTGGCTGTGCCGAAATGTCAGGCATTCCTGATGAGTCATTAAAAGGTCAACTGTGGGCGGGAGCACCAGAAATACTCGCGGGAAGGGCGGCGAACAGCGCAGAAAGTGGCATGATTGGAACACATTCGCGAAAAACTGGCTTGTGGACCTCCAGTGACGCATTTATTTCATATCATACCAACTGCCAAAGGTGTTCATTCCTACTTACGCTTATGGCAACACTCTCACTCATATGTCAATGAAGTGGAACTGAGGGGTGTTATTTCAACAGAATTTCTGGTGAGCAACGCTGCGCAGAAAACGGCCACCCGGCGGCGCGTCGTGTGGGGCCGTTGTTGGAGCTGGCCGCCGCTCTACCGAAAACACCTCCTATACTGCTGCCCGGTAACTGACGCGCCAAACATGGGAGCTCTGACAAAGAAGGAGATTGTTAGTTTCTGGAAACCAAAAAACTGTAGCAGACCAGAAAACGTAGCAAGCTATGGCTGGGGCTCAATGATATGCAGCCACCAGGCCGCATAGACGCATTTCTTTCTAGACTAAATCGTGCTACTTCCCGTGCATGAAGTTAAGCACCACGGAATCAATACAAAGCAGAGCATCTCCGTACTCTTATCAGTTGTGAATTATTATGCTGGCCGTTGTTCTTCTAAGAACTATAATTGAAATGTCCAATACTTGAATTATTATATGTTTCGGCGTCAAGAGATTCCTCACCCAAACGATCAAAATATCTACTCGGCGCTAAAATCATTCCACGCTGTGGCGTGAAGAGATCCTCCGCCCAGCAGTGCAAATGGAATTGAATAACACTTGTGGTCGTCAGCCAACGGGTAAGGTGCATGCGTTAGCCTAGATAGATGCAACTGAGTATGGCGAAAAAGGTTCGTTACATCGTTTCTGTTTTTTTTTATTTTTCATGTTGGTGCGCTATCATATGTCAAAATATATTTTAGCACCGCGGTTAATAAAGCCAATGATAATCAGTTATTAGGCGCAGGTGTCTGTTATGAGTGGTACACTAATCAACCGCATTCAGATCTTCCAATACTCTGCTAGAGCAATAGAAGCACCGTTATAATTCCAAAGATCCAACGAACAGGATCTCCTAAAAATGTATGTAAGTGTCGCAGCTGCCCGAGTGGCAACGGTTTTCTTTGTCATTTTTTTCTTTTTTGCCCCCTGACAGACATGTAACGAATGGGCAAGCCAAAAGCGGCTGAGACACCTGACTTGAAAAAAAAACAGAATGGAACTGTATAATCTGACTATGCCAAGCTCATGTCCTTCTCGCTTGTCAAACCCGCAAATTCCTGTCACATTCCTTGTCACATGTCACCCTTCTTGTTGATATCGAAACGAGACGTGGTCAGATCCAGCGACTGTATGACAAGTCAGACAGATGAGATGTAGGTCAGAAACCAAATACATGCGTAACAGGAATGGTGACGCTAGTGTGGGTCGGCCAAGTGATAATCGGTTCGCCATCCATTGTCTGCAAATCTACACAGTCCCCAAGCACATGTTGAGCAATGGTAAGCTTATTTTCACTGTGGGTCATGGTACTTGATTCTATACTGATGAATTCCGGTAATTACATTTTTGTATGAATGTACCTTTTTATCAACTAGTTGCTTCGAGAATGGCTATTAGAAAAACGCCAGCTGATAAGAGTTCATCCCGTGGAGTTTGTGGCCTTGGTTTGGCTCGGTGTTTGTGATCTTGGTTTGGCTCGGTGTTTGTGGTCTTGGTTTGGCTCGGTGTTTGTGGTCTTGGTTTGGCTCGATGTTATCGAATTTATACTATCTTAGTTAAAACGCATGCAAGCAAATTGATGGCGGAACAGACCAAATTAAGCGGAGTCAGATACCGCCGTTATTTTATGTGCATCGTCATTGCGACTTAACAGCGCACTCAGCTACTAAGGCTATATAGTCAAACTCGCATACCTGTGGTCTCCATGTTCCATTCTGCAAAGTGTGGCAGATGTTTGTAAGATCTCATTGTAGCAGGGTTGTATCAAACAACTGAAAGTTTGAGGTTTTTTTTTAAAAAATGGTGAATGTACCTTGTTTTCATTCATTGGTATCAACTTGAAATAAACACCAGGGGCGCAGTTTTCTATTGTTGGGTCACCTTAGCCCTCCCAGTACTAAGACAAAAAAGTGGAAATAAGTTTGACCAGTTTCCCTCTGCTCAGCGTTTCAAATAATTTTCGAAAGTTGGGGCCCTAAGTAACACCTTGCTGAACCCTAAAAATCAAGCCCGACAGCGGTCTCAGATGCAGCAGAACATAAATACGACTTTTTCGAAACTCATTATATTTAATGGTCAGGCTCTCACTACAGTTGCCGCGCCCATAAAACAACATTTTTAAAATCCGAGCTTTAAAACCGGAGGACTGCAGCACAAGCTCAACACACCACGCACCACACAATGCACAGCGCACTTTCACAGGCCGCAGATCTCTTCTCTGACGGGCCGCTAAAAGACGATACGCAGATGTCTGATCGCGGGCAGCTCCCAGTCCCCGCGAACATCAACCACGCGATGTCCAGACTCCGGTGATGGTGCATTAAAGCCCCGGAGGCGCCTCTAATCGCAGACCAGGTCCACGGGGCAAGGAGGCCTGAAGCAGGCGACGGCCTCCTCCCTGCACTTCTGTCCGTGCGGGCAGATCTTGTTTGCGCAGGTCGGCTCGACAACACGGCGGCAGAACGGAACCGGCAGCAGCTCGCAGAACTCGTCCGGGGCGATGCAGATTCCGCAGGGATCTGAGAGGCCGGAGCACAAGTTTGAGTCCCGGAGTAGCCGTGGCAGCAAACCGAGGTAGCCCTAGCTATCCTGAGGTACATCTAATTCAGTGTTTTCAGAACGGACCACTCGAAGCGCTAAACTAAACCACTAAAGCGCTAAACTAAACTAAAAAATTAAAGCAACACCTAACCAACCGGACCGAATAAACTGGAGCGACACTTAACCAACCGGACCGAATAAACTTGAGTAGCACTTAACCAACCGGACCGAATAAACTGGAGTAGCACTTAACCAGCCGGACCGAATAAACTGGAGTAACACTTAACCAACCGGACCGAATAAATTGACTCACGTCCTTTGAAGGAGACTTTGGGTACCAGACTATACGTATGCCTTTCGTTGCCAAATAACGAACCGAAAGACGTTCCCCCGGAATTTGCCCCAGAAATTAATCCAGATTCCTGAGAAGTCTTGAGTCCATGGGTTTTCGCACTTCTCAAAAACAATAGCGTCTATGATAATGTTGACAAAATCCACTTCTAGGCCTCCTAGCACCTTGAGAGCGATATCCTGGAGTCCAGCAAGTGTACTTCGAGAACGTCTCGTGGCCACCCTGGAAGTTGTATGCAGTTCTTTTATAGATTCTGCAATCGTAGAGAGCGGATTTCGCCACCGATGGCGGCGGCATCTGCACTCGCTGCGGGTACAACCCTTGTGACGTTCTAAAAGCACAATGTACGCCGCTCCGACGTCAGTGACGGCCATAGAGTGTGTGAAAGAGGGAGGGGAGAGCTTACGGGTTTCATAACCATAAAGCCCAACGTGGATGGGCAGTGGATGGGAGACGAGCAGAGCAACATCTGAGGATTGAAAAACATGTCACTACAGATCGCGACTGAAATGAACTAAATGCTTCTATTTCGGCATGCTCACTATCTGTGCTAGATGCACAAAGAAAGTAGCTCACGCATTTTAACTGTACATTCTGCTGCAAGGCTATAGAAACAAGGGTTTGAAGCCAACAGTAAATCTATAGACACGATTTACTACTAAAACGGTATGGATTGTAGATGCAGCCGTGAGAAATGATTAAAGCAGTGGTCCAGTTGCATTTTCACAATAGCTCTTTGCGATCGATTCCACTGGCATATCACTCAGTGCCAATGAAATCTATTGAAAATAGTAATTGCAAAAAGGCAAATGAAAATACAACGGAAGCGTTGCTTAGAGCGACGATTGGCGACGCTGCCATTGGCGACTAAATGATGGGACAGAATAGCCAAGGTGACACCTTGCGTGGACTACAGATCACGAGGGCATGGCGTACAGGTTTGGTCATGGACATGACTCGGCCCGTCGAGCCGTGTGAATGAGCGAGGGCCTTGCGATGTCGCAGCTCATTATTTATCACGTTTCTGAACAGATTACATGTATGCACATGCAACAATGTAGCGAGGTCTCACGATGCCGTAATGGCAAAGGTTTGAAACGTAAACGGGGAAGCGTATACACGAAATACGCAACGGCGTTTAGATGACGAGGCAGGTATCCATGTGTACAGCTTCCTCACAGCAACCGACCACCGAAGGCGAGCGGCGTAGGCTCGCACGGCACAGAGACTTAACGAAGCCGACGTCTCTGCCAATGACAAACAAATGGCGGCGACCAGGGTCGCTGATGACGACGCAGAGAGGTCACAGCGACAGGCTGCCAATGCCCAGCAAATGGCGGCGGCCAGGGTCGCTGGTGTGTCTTACCGAACCATACAGCGTCAGCCGGGACCATTTCCAAGTACCCCGTACAGAGATCTAAGAAAGACATTACATGCAGGCACTGCGGGGCGCCGAGTAGAACCGCCAAAACGCCCATGAGCGTAGCATCCAGTGCCCATATCATTCCAAATGCGTCCAAATACGTGCCCATTGGCAGAGTTCATAGCACCAAAGGTTGAACGTCTAAGATCATGACATCCAATAGTCGTGACATCCAGCAATTACAACGTTCAGTTGATTGCTTTCCATTAGCACTGTTCTACGGCCTTCGGACGTCATGAACGCTTGATGTTGAACTTTGGATGTCGTGATTTTGATTTTGTGAGCTTGGGTATTGTGATTCTCTCTTGTCTAGGAGTATTGGACGATTTCTTGGATTTTTAGATTTTGGATGATAAACAGGCACAACGACGCTGTTCTCATCGAGCAACAAAGCAAGTGGGTATTTATTCGTCCCATCAACTGCTCTTGAGCAAAGTACTGCCTTACGCAACCAGAAAACAAAATATGTCAAACGGGTCGAGAGCGGTGACGCTCAATTCGGAAACAAGTTAACATAATCAGTGCGCGGAAAGTCGTGCAGTTCACACCTAGCCCCCGTTAGCGGTCAAAAGCCACTCGTCCTCTGTGACAGTCAGCGCGAGACATACGAGACGATAAATTTGCCTTACGTTTGGAGCATCGTGACACCCAAACTTATCACATTAGGCCAAACGTTTGTGTGCTAGCGTGCACTGTGAGCGGATTTACTCACTCGACCTGACGCAGTAGGGTCGCGGGTTACAGGGCAGGGAGTCGCATAGCGCCTGCTGTAGAACACACTCGAATCCGGACGGGCAGCTGGTGGCAGCGCAGGTGGGCGGTGGCACGCGCGCACAGACGTACACGTCGCCGTGCTGCTGGCACTTCAGCGGCCACGGACACGGCTGGTTACCGCACGCCTCTGTGTAACTGCCTGCAAAACACCACACTGAAGGCAGCGCCCCGCGGATGCATGGCTCTGTCGTTCCTGCAGACTTCATGGAAATCTACACACAAGGCAGCTGAAATGAGGCTTTGGAGCTTGGTCTAGAACAAGATAGGCAGGTGTAGCGTGTGACTTGTTCCCCCCCCCCCCCCCCCGTCCGTCCGTCAGCTAGGTAGCTGCACCGGCGTACGGGGGTGCAAATAAGCAGCGCTGCGAAATTGTGGCGATACGAAATGATGACACCTCTATCCACAGCGAAATGCACGATCAAAATGACGCAAGGTGCAGGTCAGTTGCGTGTGTTGCTGTGTTAGAATGTAGGCAAATAATAATAAAAGCAAATCCGGGAAGGCAGACACTCTGAGCGATCACACCTTGGTTCGAGGAGCTCGCGACATCGATCAGAACGACGGCAAAAATTATTTGCGTCAACATGGCTGGACTATTGTCTTTTCGTTTCGGAGCTTGTCCGTTTTGTCGCACCGGCCGACCGGAAATCTGATGGGTCGACAGCGGAAGGTCAATGCATGCACGGAAAACAGAGGCCAGATCGCGGTTGGTCAATCAGTCGTTCAAGGCTGCTATCTGACAAACAGGCGCCCCCCTCTGCACTAGCGCTTGGGGATTTAGCTCAAGATTACACGTGGTGCGGAATTGGGCCGGCTATTGGTTTACGATTTGTTAAGAATGGATGGCGCAGAACTGCGACGATTTATCAGGCTAATGCTCGCCATAATACTATTTCGCGATGATATTGTCAGCTGTTATCCCATATTGAAGTGCACCTGGCTGTGGTTTAAAATATTAAATCTTCCCAGCCTTACGGCTGCTGTTCTGGGAACGTAATTTCTGCAACTTAGCTCCAATCCCGAAAAACTCCAAGAGAAAACCTAAAGGTGAGTTGTGCCTGTCGGCATAACCAATACAGTGATCTAAAGACACGCCGAACCCATAGCACCGTCCCTGATGTGTAAAGCAGTAAGCATGGCAAGCGTGCAAGGTCTGATGAGCAGCACGGAGACATGCTCATCGTTGTTACCAGGGGGGCAGCAGGCAAGCGCATGCGTACCCTGGGCACAGCACAGGGGTGTACGTATTAGATGCGCGGAGAGAGGCGCGAGAGCAAATTTTAAAAAAATAAAGAAAATTAGTTCATTGAGATGTATCGAAGCATCGCAAATGCACGACTCAAATGCACCAATGTACGCAGATGCACGACTCGGACGCGCCGATGTACGCAGATGTACGTCTTACTCAGAAACAGCACAGAGAGCTTATTCCCGGTATGAGATATGCGTCCTAGGCCGCACTCATTTGAAACAAGGAAACGGCATGTGAAACGCACAGACTTAGCGGGCTGAACGGGAACCCGATCGTATCCAAGGAACTTAGCGGGCTGAACGGGAACCCGATCGTATCCAAGGAACTTAGCGGGCTGAACGGGAACCCGATCGTATCCAAGGAACTTAGCGGGCTGAACGGGAACCCGATCGTATCCAAGGAACTTAGCGGGCTGAACGGGAACCCGATCGTATCCAAGGAACTTAGCGGGCTGAACGGGAACCCGATCGTATCCAAGGAACTTAGCGGGCTGAACGGGAACCCGATCGTATCCAAGGAACTTAGCGGGCTGAACGGGAACCCGATCGTATCCAAGGAACAGTGCAGATGCGCAACATGTGCATTACGCATATTTAGATAGCAGCGTTGAATCAGACTCAGTTTCAGCGAACAGCATAGGAAACTCAGCTGTGGAGCAGAAGCTTGCAAAACATCAGCATCATAGGCACAAACGCGCAAAACACCTTCAAACACCATTAAACACTATCATCGCCATCATCACCATACACCATCCAACGCAAAAACACCACCACACAAACACCATCACACAAACACGACACAAACATAATCGCACAAACATCATTGCTTAAATATCACCACAAAAATATCACCACACACATATCATCACACGACAAACATCATCACACAACATACGCCATCACACAGACGCACCATCACACAAACACACCACCACACAATAAGTCATGAAGACCAATACAGATGTCGCTCACCCTCACGCGTGAGCTGTTGGACCGTGACTGGGTGCAGTCAGACGGCACTCCTGGCCTCGGTTGCCCCGCCCGCCGCACCTGTCCCGGGTCAGGTGGTGTCGGTCCGGCCCTCTGGGCATGCCCGAGGTCCGGCCGCGCCGCGGACTCTCGCCTCATGCCGCCGCCGTGCGCTGCCGGTCCGCGCGTGCTGAACCCAACTGCCGAAGGAGGTCACCGGAGCTGCCGCCGGGCTGGTCTGCGTTCATGCCATCTTCACCTTGATAACGCGGGTTCGTATGCTTCAGCTGATTACCAGGGGAGCAGCAGTGAAACGCACGTGTAACTGCAAGTGTACAAACGCGCGTACTTTACACGCACGTATATACTGAACGGATAACTTGTTTGCTAGCTCGGGAAATTAATAAGTGAAGTTAAGTGGGACTCCTGCTGTGCGGTAGTGAGTTGTGACGTGTGTACCCATGGCGTAAAGTCGCTAAAAAGTTAGGCTTACAACGTCACCGATGGCCGCGTTTCTGAGGGTGATGGCGATGAACATCGACAGCAACATGCTATTCCGCACCCGCTATCTCTTCATTCTTCATCATCGCCGATTCCTGACATCCTTAGGCATCTTACCTTTGTGGAAGGTGGCTGCGGAGATTCATCAACTCCCCACACGACGCCGCTTTGTCTCGGAATTACAGACAGCGTTAAACGGATGCGGCATGACCGGCACGTTGCAGCACTGACTGCCAGTGACGCCCGCCATCCGCGGAGCACCTCGGGCGGAGGACAGCTGCGCCAGTGACGCCCGCCAGCCGCGGAGCACCCCGGGCGGGGGACAGCTGCGCCAGTGACGCCCGCCGGCCGCGGAGCACCCGGGGCGGAGGACAGCTGCGCCAGTGACGCCCGCCAGCCGCGGAGCACTCCGGGCGGAGGACAGCTGCGCCAGTGACGCCCGTCGGCCGCGGAGCACCCCGGGCGGGGGACAGTTGTGTCAGTGACGCCCGCCAGCCGCGGAGCACCCCGGGTGGAGGACAGGTGCGGGTTAGGAAGCTACTATGGTGACGTGGTTATTCACAGCGGAAACGGTCGCAGCGTGGTGTTTTGTTTGCGCAGTGTCCGGTACAATTTGCATCTGAGCTGGTTGCAATGATTTGGGATAGTGCACCAGCTCCATCAGTCAGGCACACCGATCACAGATGCCTGACCTGCTTGCGTAGGCTGTGCGTGACGTCTCCATGCGTGCAGGCTGAGCTTGAAGTTTGGAGCTGATGGGTTTGAAGCCTGCTCGGTCGTTATTCGGCCGGCCCAACCAGACAGCATCACTAGTTGGGGTTTGCTTTCCACCATGTGTCACGAGATTATTGCTACGGCAAGAACTCCTACCGACAGGAATACTACGACATCAGTTATATGCGACTTTACTTCTTCTCTCTCTCTCATAGAGTTTGCCTATACGCGACATTACTTCCACTGCAACAACCTATGCACGACGACAAGAACTTTTGCTCGTTATTACCTACAGTGTTTACATATAATCGCGAAGTAGGTACCGCACGACAAAATCTGTACTTCAAAAATAGGTGCGCATCATTGCATGCACTGCGAAAACTTAACAGTCTCTACTTACTTGTGCAACATTACTTCTACTACAAAAACTTGCCTTCGACATGAGTGCCACACAGCAAAATATATGTTACGAAAACATATACCAACCATTGGCTTATGCTGCAAAGCATTGACCACAAGCCTTTGCTTAAGCACTAATGTCGTGTTTATGTCTTTGCAGTGGAAATAACGTCGTGTATAAACGCTGACTATAAGTTTTTTACAGAAGAGGAAATGACGGTTATAAATTTTTAAGTATGAGTGCTGTCGCGGGGCACTAATGTCGCGTGATAAGTCTTCGCAGTAGAAGTAAAGTCATGTATAAGCAATGATTGCATGTTTGCTGTAAAAGTAATGACGAGTATACGTTTTGAAGCATAAGTTTTGTCGTTTAGCAGTAGTGTCGCGTGTAAGTTTTTGCAGTAGAAGTAGTGTCGTTTATAAAACTTGCAGACATCACGAACTGTGGCCATTATGAGCGTTATGAGCGTTCCCGTTTGTCATAGGGGCCGATTTGTTTGTCAGTGAGCCGGGGGAGGGGACACTCGCAAACGATCGACTGTACGCAACTCCGATGCGATCAACCTGCCGACGCGTTGATATCACAGCTTGTTTAATGCGAGCTGGCTAGTGGCCAAACAGGGGTCCGTCAAGGACTCTCGCCGGGCTGGATGGCCTCGCTTAAAGACTGATGTGGCGACAATGACGACACACTTAGATAGGCTTCAGGATGTTTAAGATATTTATGTTTTGATAACAGTAGGGGCTGCAACTTTTTGACCTTGGACTTAACAAAGCACTTCAGCGTACAAATGTATTGGCCAGTAACGTTCATTTTCTCACGTTGGCAGTGGCGGAAAGAAGTAAATGCTCACGCTCAAGCGGTTTTCAAGCTTGGATTCTCAATCCAACTAGCAACGCTCGCAGCTGGCCATTTTGGTTGTTTTCTCTTAATCGCCCGACCGGATATATTGTGACGCTTAACAGCCAGAGTCGTCTGCATGACGGGGAAAATGAAACGGTGTTAAAAGGTGGGACACAAGAAGCACGTCGCTCAAGCTGCGCTCCATAGACTGTTTTTTTTTTAGGGGATTTTGCGACAACTCTCTGGCATTGAAACCTTGTAGGACCTTTGGTAGCCTAATAATACCCGGAGTACGGAGCTGTACCTAGAGTGCAGAGCTTTAGCCAGAATACAGAGCTTTCAATGCGTTAAGAGCAGGCACATAATGGCAACAAAACAAAAACAAAAACAAAACGGAAGGCTTACGAAGGCCTTCTTTCAGCGAGTCCGTTGGACTGAGAACGATATGGTACAATCCGAATGTGCTTGATGCCGAGCTTGATCTTGAATTCTTCGAATCATTTGGACGCCATCTTACGATCTCTTTGACAGTCCACTGATTGTCGCTTCTGGGGTGATGTTCTTCATTGTGACAGGTTCTGGCCATTTGGAAGGGCTGTCCACCATTACTAGATAGTGGCAGTCTCTGAAAGGTTCCGCAAAATCGAGGTGGACGCGCTCCCGTGGGATTTGTGTGTGTTGCCAGGGGTGTAAAAACACTGCCGGTCTCTCTTTCTGTCCGGCCTGGCACCCGGGGCAGTCCCTCAGCACATTTTGTATGTTTTCAGCAAGAGCCTGGAAGCGACTTTCTTCGACTGCCGTCCGCTGCCATTTTTGCCCCTTTTTCAGCAATCGATGTAGCGAAGCTACCACTTTGGACATGTGGGCCATAAAGCTGGCCTAGAAGGTTACTGTTCCCAGGAAGTTTCTCAGCTCGCTGGTGTTCTGAGATTTTGGTACATTTAACACGTGGTCCACTTTTTTCTTCACTGGTTTGACGCCTTCACCGCTCCGCTCTACTTCCAGATACTGAACTGGCGTCATCATGAGCTCACACTTCTTCAAGACGAACTTCCATTTATTTAATATCTTTAGGGTTTCATTCAGCCACTCAAGAGTTTCGGCATCCGTTGAGCCTGCCACCAAGATGTCATCTAAGAAGCAGGTCGCACCAGGGAGGCCTTCCAGCACATTCTCCATCGTGCCCTGGAATATGCCAGGCGACGCTGAGATACCATATGATAAGTGTTTTATTTTTAGAAGTCCTTTCGGGGTGTTCAATACAGTCAGCTGCTGACTGTTCCCGTCCAGCCTCATCAGTAGATACGCGGTGCTGAGATCCAGTTAGCAAACTTTCTTCATGCCGGTCAATTTGTCAAAATGTTTTCCTAGCATGGCGTGGGATGCTGCGGAACTTTCAGCTGAGAGTTAACCGTGAATTTACAGTCACCACACAGTCTCACCCCTCAGCCGGGCTTCGGCACTATCACCAGGGGTGTGCCCAGGTGTGCCCCAGTCGGTGCGGTCCTTTCAGCGAGCCCTGAGTCCTCCCACTTTTTCAGTTCTCTGCCGACTTCGTCTTGCAGCTCATATGGCGCGGGTCTCGCTCCCCTGAGCACTGGCTCTGCCATTTCTTTCAACCTGAGGCCGGCCTTGATGTCCGCCAGTCGTCCCAGTTTGTTATCAAAAAGTTCCTTGTGCTCGTTCAGGACGTGTTCCAGCGACAACTTAGCGGGTCCCTTTTCAGTCACTTAATTGACGCAACCTCCATTGGGCACCAGACCAAGTAGCTCTGCCGTTATTCCACTGAGGAGCGAGATTTACCCGTGAGTTGCTATGAGCCCTGGACTTCTCGATCGTTGGCTGCAGCTGTTACAAAGGATTGACTGTCCAGCTTCAGCGGAATACTCGATCCATACGGCAGCAGTCGTCGGTTCGTCTTTACCGCTTTGATGCTGGCCAGTTTTACGAAGTCCTTTCTGGCTATGACGTCCGCTGATCCTCCAGTATCGACCAGTACCTTCATAATCTGGCCATTTAGTTTTAATGTCGTCAGCAAGTCCCTCTTGGCAGTGCCACCGCCGGACGTGAACGCCAAATCACTGGGTGCGATTTCTTCTCTTATTACATTCACTCGCTTGATTAGACCGGGCTCGGTGACTTTCGCTCATGTTTGCAGAGTTGCGCACTTTATATCGGTCATTTTCCTTTTTTTAACGTAAAGTCCATGACTGACATAGCAACCTTCTTCTTCGAAACTGCTAGTGTGGGACCAATAAACTCACTTTGCCGCAGTCTACTTTTTGTCATAGGGCGCCGCATTGTGATTGAATCATAACATGTAGACTAGGCATTCCACGCGCTTTATGGCACTTATCGTTCATGGTGATGCACTGTTTTGTACCTGTCCGATGTGCGCACTTGGTAAACCCCTCTCCCTGAAACCAAAACCGTTTGGAAATACCTCCCGTCGTTCAGAATGGTCTCAGGAACTCATGGATTCTTGATCGCGTTGTTAGCCGCAGTGGTACCGCACTAGCCGCCGCACGTACTTGAACGTACACAACCCCCCTGAAGACGTAATCTAAATAAATCGTGCTTTTGAAACGGCAGTGTGCCACATGGCTCACGTATACTGGGCTGGTAAAGTTTTTAATTATTTAAGGCAAAAGTAAAATAGCAATACTGACGGTATAATCAAACAACATAGATGCCTCCATTGCATAATCCATGCCCGGTGCAGTCAGACCTTTTTTGAAACGCCTAATGTTCTAACCTTTCATAAACTGCCCCAAAAATGTACACATCGATCGGTAAAATAGTGTGGCAATGTTAGCTACGGGAAACGCCTGCACACGCGACATCTCACGTAGTACCTGTGAGTTTTACATGAAACACTGGCATTATAAGAACGCCTACTTATTCCCTGTCGCGCTGGGCTACACCAAACGCCTATGACATATCCGTATTGCACTTTATGAATCAATGCCGCGGTGAACTGTGAGCAGGCAGGCAGGAGAATCAAGGCCATATAAAAAGACAAAACGGAGCATTTGGTGTCAGAATAGCTCAGATCTTGCCCCCAAAGGTCTCCTTTCGCTGTACATGTGCATGCTGCCACTTACCACATGAAGCAGTGTTTGTCCACCGCGCTCTGAGTGTGATGGCTGGCGAACCAGGTAAATCGAAATCGCTTTCAAGATAGTGCAAGAATTAGATAGACGCAAATTGGATCTGAACCTGTAAGGGAGTAGTTGATAGTGCTGTCCCCTTCCCCCTTGAAGAGTGGGGCTCATTGCCCCCTTTCTCCCCTCCCTGTTTCTACGCCCATGGAAATCCGGGCTGCCTCTATGCCCGGCCAATGCGTTGTACAGTGGTTCAGTGCGGTGCAGTGAATGCATTTTGTGAGTGGCATTAATGCGTCTTGCAAGCGAGGCTTCGTCATGGAAAGACCGGTTGCCTGTCGAATGGCACCATCGGCACCATTTACGGACATGTCCGAATACGCAGCAGTTGGGCTCCTTGTGTCAGGAAGGCTCACGGAGGGCTACCTGTGACTGTCGTGCACGGTTCGCCAGTCGGGCTCCTTGCGTCAGGAGGGCTCACGGAGGCCTACCTGTGACTGTCGTGCACGGTCCGCCAGTCGGGCTTCTTGTGTCAGGAGGGCTCACGGAGCCCTACCTGTGACTGTCGTGCACGGTCCGCCAGTCGGGCTCCTTGTGTCAGGAGGGCTCACGGAGGGCTACCTGTGACTGTCGCGCACGGTCCGCCAGTCGGGCTCCTTGTGTCAGGAGGGCTCACGGAGGCCTACCTACGACTATCGTGCACGGCCCGCTCAAACAATTGTGCTGTTTCCAGAGCAATGAACACATGCTCGTGATGTCGCTTTGGTATCATTGGTTCCGCGCTATGGTAACATCGATCCGACGCGATAGATACTGCGGCCTCCTTACGATCATGAAATGCACAGAGAAAAAAGCTCTCGGAGGAAACACATATATTTTGTCCCACGCATGAAGCATGCATGCTACATAGTCACACAAACAATACGATACTCTTTATGTTACTGCTTAGGCAACAAGTACAGTTACAAACATAATCAGCGTTTAATGAAATAATTAGGGGGTGTAACTATGCCTCCGGTAGGCTCGAGTAAATGGAGCATTAGCACTAAATGTGGTATCACTATCGCTGCATCATGGCTCTTTCTGTACTTAGAGCATTCCAGTTCTAACATGAAACATCCGTATTCTTTGTTTTGTGAGGGCTAGGCACTTTATTTCCAGCATCAGCAATAATAATTTGAAGGTCATATTGGCAACACACGTGATTCTCCATTTGCACGTTAGGTCGGGGTTAGACAGCAGTTTCAGGTACGATGAGCACGCCTCTTTTGAGTAGCACGTGCTCCAGTGCCAAGTAAACATTGGACCACCATGCTTGCTGAGATGACGTCAGGAGTGGCAGATACACGATACTCTCACAAATATATGGAGATACTTTGCCGTGTGTTCTTCAGCATGAATAATCCCATACACAGTGTAAGTGCGCGAGCCTATCATTTTCCGAGTACAAGAACCGCACAAAGTCATGTGCGAACATACGCCCAAACTGCCAACGTTTATGCTACGTCAGCGACCACCACGCCGCATTTTACACTACGTCACACGAAGTTTTACGTCTCACGGCAGCGCCCCAGCGCGGCGTGAGATCCATAGTTCGGCGACGGTGATCACAGTTTATAGCTCGTAGGTCCCAGCGCAAGCGACCCAGACGATAGGCCATTATCACTTACGCGTAGCATACTGTATGCCAAGAGAACTCTTAGGAAAGTTGACTTTGCCTTTTCCAGCTTGCATGTTTCAGATCAGTATGACACATTTCAATTTCAGGTTTAATGTCATATGTAGCAGGTCACACCAATTTAGTTTTACGTCGCAGGTCACAGTCGCATGTCACAAACTATATCATCGGGGCATTAGTCCTGGGTCGCGGGTCAAATGTTCCGGACTTCACCCGCTATTTTGCGGTCATGTGCCATAGATCCCACATAACGGAATGAGGGACCCGGTCTGCACCTGCCTTTTGGATCGCTGTCAGACGGACAGACTCACCCAGGCCATACTGGACAGGTCCTCCTAATCTGAGGTGCCAGTTCCAGGACCGGCTCGTGGCCAGCTCGAATCAGATCATGTGTTCTAGCTAAAAATCCTCACGTGAGTCTCACGTCCCAGGTCGCATGTCCCCGGTCCAGGGTCCCGGTCGCAGGTCACACGTCCCAGGTCACCTATGCTTGGTCCAGGGTCCCGGTCGCAGGTCACACGTCCCAGGTCACCTATGCTTGGTCCAGGGTCCAGGTCGCAGGTCACACGTCCCAGGTCACCTATGCTTGGTCCAGGGTCCAGGTCGCAGGTCACACGTCCCAAGTCAGAGGAACACCGGATTGACGTGCGGCTCGGCCAGCCGACCGGGCCGCGGCAAGCTGGTGATCTGGTGGCGCAGCCGGACGCCGCGCGTCCTCTGGCGTACCCCTTCTAGGTTGCCGTCCATCGATGGCCAGGTCTGGACGGCGGGCCGGGGCGGCCGGCGCGCCGCCGCCGTCGCCGTCGCTGCCGCCGCCGCCGGCGCCGGCTCCAGATGCTGTAGGCTGGTGGCGCGCTGCAGGCTGAGCCGGGCCGGCTTGCGCGGTGGCCGCGGCTTCTGCAGCGTGGCCGCTCCGCCCAGCCTCTCGCCAAACAGCTGCAGCCGCTGCAGCAACGAGCGCGGCCTCGGCCGGGCGAGCCACTCCGAGGCTACCGGGCTGGCCGCGCGCGCCGCGCCGCCGGAGCGGGCCGCACCGGCGCCGCTCCGTGCCGCACCGCGGCCGTTCACCGGTATGGTGGCCTTGTGCGGGCCCCGCACGAACACTGGCGAGTCCTCGCGAACCTCGGCGCGCGCGTGGAGGGCTCCCTCGTGGGTCCGGCAGGGCGCAGGGGTGTCTTCTTCGGCCGCTTTCACGGTGACCAGTGTGGACTCCTGGGCGCAGCTCAGGCTCTCGTCGGTCACTCCTCGGATCTTGTCGAGAACTCCTTGCATTTGTTGCACCTAAAAAACACGTCACGGTTTGACGACGAGCTGACTATCTTAAACAAACAGACGCAGCTCTCTTAAACGGCTGATGCATATCAGGCACACACAGTCGATAACATTAATGACCATCACTTGACAGGCTTAACTCGTTCCAAAAAATATCATCAGTCATTTACAGATAACAAACCAGATCTCACAAACCTATGGGGTAGACATTACTCGATAGCCTCCCGTATCTATACATGAGTTACTTATGACATAGTTTGCCTAGCATCCACATCATGCTCTGCCGTCCAAAGGCGAAAGTCATTATATAACATAGCACTGAGGCCTTTTTGCCTTTATGACTTGAGTGCTGGCTTTTATATCATTAAGCTTTCTGCACATCAGGTGTCGCTCTGTTTATCAGGCCAGAAATACTGGGCGTCAGCACCGATTTCTAACGCAGAATTTTTTTTTGTGCACCGCTGCAAGTTTCACATATCGCGCTGTCCGCCCTCACTCGCTGCTCCAGCTGCTGAACGCGGCGCGCCTGCTGCTCGTTCTCGCGCGCGTACGCCTCGGCCTGGCGCCGGTCGCGCTCTTGTTGGCTGTGCAGCGTCTTGTTCTCCCGCGTCTTCTGCTCGAGCCGGCCAGCCAGCAGCGCTAGCTCCTGTCGTAAGGCGGCGGCTGCGCCGCGCCGGCCAGCCAGGCTGGGCGGCCGGCAGCGCACGGCCAGCAGCTGCACTGGGCTGCCGGCCTCGGCCAGCAGCTGCAGCAGTGCCGGTCGGCTGCCGCCCAGCACTTGCTGACCGTTCACCTCCAGCAGCCTGCGACGGGGAAGGGGGGGGGGGGGGGGCTCGTCACGGAAGGCGGGCATCACGCGGCACAGCGCCAGGCGTCGGCCCTCCGGAGCTGGGCAGGGCGGTGTTTATGGGGCATCCGATAAAAAGCCTCAGTGATTGGACACGGAGTGAGTAAGGGCCGGAAACGACGACTGACTGTTGTCTAGTGCCCGTTGCCTGTGTATCTACCGAAAGAACGATGGTGCCGGATGGGGAGGTGGGATGGGGTTGTTGACTGTTGAGCGGCTCACAATGCCGTCAGCTTGTGACGTGCGACAGTCCGGTGTTCGTTAACGGACGTTCCGGTTGGCCTGCGATGGTCTGTGCAGACAGGGTAAACACTGGGCACACAGTACGGCGGGAGAGGAGAAAAGAAAGAGGGGAGAGAGAAAGGGAGGGAGAGAGAGGGAGGGAGAGAGAGAGAGAGAGTGTGCGTCAGAAAGGCAGAGAAAGAAAAATGAAACATGAGAGAGGAGAGGGCAAGACAGACAAAAGGACGGTGAGAAAGAGGGAAGATCGAGAGAGGTAGAGAGAGAGAGGTAAGGAGAGAGAGTGAGAGAAAGGGCGTGCGAATATAGAAGAGCAGATAACGCTAAGGTTATCTCGGGCCAGCGTCATTCAATTCCGATATCCCATTGAAAATATGTGGTCAAGCCATGGCAGTCACGTTCTGGAGGTGTCGTACACCACGACGCCGATTCGATAGCAACACCAGTGTGTAACATGCATTCACTTTGCACCAACACGGCATGGTTGGTACGCTCCACTTGCTACGATTCGATGCGGTGCCTGATGTATTCATTCCAAGGCTGTATACATGGCCAGTAGATGCCGTCCGGCAGCAACAGCGGTCATGCCCCCGAACGGGTTACATTGTAACAGACGTCTGCTCGTGCTTCCCCCAGTCCCTGCTCATTCATGGTATGCAGTGTGTAAGACTGTGCCGACTCATAAAACACTCGATGCCACTTCTTAGTCAGCCCTGCAGCCGGAGCTCGCCCGCTCATGTCCCACCGGTTCGCACTACTCGACCCCGGCCTGCGTTGAACACGACCCGCCCACATCCCTGTCCGCTCGCGGCCCGCCGGTGCGCGCCCGTCAGTTTGAGCTGACCCACCTGTCGCCGCTCCTCAGGCCGCAGTGGTCGTGTGCCCACTCCACCTGCACGCCCGTCTCCGGCCCGAGCTGGGTCAGCGTGAAGCAGGGCGCGCCGGGGTCGTACGGCACCGCCAGCGGGTGCAGCGACACCTCGCCGTGGCTCGGCAGGCAGCTGGCGGACAGCGCAGCGGCGTCATGAGCGCGACAGCCGCGCCCACGGGCTCTGTTGTGGCGTTCCGCTCGTGTGAGTGCGATTCGGAGATCGCCGATGACCTCGCTATACTGTCAAGCAAAATAAAATACACCGGAACGTTTCTAGAAAGCCCGAGCAGTCGGCTTGTGTTACTGAACGAGTGCGTTATGAAGAAACGATACCATTCGGCCGTCAAGCTCGGCATGGTGCAAGCACGCGAAGTTACGTGTTAGTGCTGGTGCCAGGACAATCATATTCCTCACTCAAATCAAACAACCGTGCGACGTCTAAAGAAATGGATAGAGTTCATCCATCCTCAGAATAAAGCGGCGCTTATATTGGAGAGAAAGGCGCACTGCGGGGCGCCGCTACGTAACCGGGCTGACGACACACCTGGAGAGCGAAATGGGGCGCGCTGAAGCGGCGCTGTCTTCGGCCCCCTCCAGTCGCGACTTGAGCCGCATGTGCTCCCCCTGCAGGTTCAGAATGTTGAGCTCCTCGGTCTCCAGGTGGTACTCCAGCTCCGCCCGGCGGATACAGTCGTCAATGTTCCGTCTGAAAGTTGCAGGAGCCTTGGGAATTGCAAGAAAAACTGAACAGTAGTTCGTCGGTTGCAGTAAATGCTGGTGCAGAAATGCAATGGGCGCAGTGAAAGACAGCCGCAGCCGGTGTTTTTGCCCGTTGACGCAGTGTCATGTAGTAATTTATGAGCGTCCAACGCACGTTTGGTTGCCAAAGACAGTATTTGGCATATTTGGTGGTTTGTTTTATCATGCTTAACCAAACTTGGCGTGCACGACGACCGGTGACGTCATCAATTATGAATCGTATTCCGAAAGCTTGCCTGACGCGAGTTAATTTGAACGCCGCGTGGGTGACGTGTCCGAGTGGTCCCACTGAGCTCCGATAGTGACGGTTCGATACTTGCTGCCAGCTGCGCTGTGGTTTCCCTCACTGCAATCGGGGTGGAACAAGGCGACTCGAATGGCCGTGGTAATGGGATCTATAACGAAATCAGCTAAGCTTTTTGTGCTTCGCGAATCGTCGTAATACACTGGTGATTCATGCGTTCCTTTTCTGCGGTGTAACGGAGTAACAAATACTCAGCCAGATATCACGTAAAGTGTCGGCGAGTTGGCACGAGGCGCGTGCTGTAAGTGCTCGTGATGTCATGTATCCCGTTTTAAGCGTGGGACAGCGCTGCTGGACTGCTGCTGGACCTCCGCGGCCACTCACTCGGTCGTGTCGATCTGCTCCAGCGTGATGCGGGCGTTCTTGACGTGGGCCCGCCTCCTGTCGATCTGCTGCTGCAGGTGCACCGATCGCTCCAGCAGCAGAGCGCGCTCTCGCTCTCTAGCCGCGCGCTCCGCCTCCCGGCTGGAGCGAGACTGGCACACCGCCAGCAGCTGGCTCTGCAAGCTGCCAACACCGGGTCAGGTCCACAACGGTCGGCCAGATGGACTGGAAGCACCGGGCGAGCCCAACAGCTGGCTGTGTAAGCCCCCCCCCCCCCCCCCACACACACACACACCGGAGTATACCAACAACTGACTCTGTGAACCACTGTGAGCTGTTGACTCTGAGTTGACTCTGTGATCTGCAGGCAACGAGTCACACCAACCACTGACTATAATCCCTGGATGCCGACAATTGACTCTGCAAGCGGCAGGCACCAGGTTACATATTGCCAAACTCCGATAGAGCACGAGATGATGACTGGGGGCCTCATCATGAATCATGTGGCTCCCAGCCGGGCCCACTGTGTTAGCTCGCCTAGGCAGTCCTCATTCTGTTCGAACCTGTCCACTCGCCCTGGTGCTGACCAAATGACGTGGCCTACATTTTCCCCCGTTACTTCGATAGCTTCTTAATTCGTCGCTGTGTGTGTTGTACATTCCAATTGACAAAGGTGTCGACAAGATTGATGTGTGCTGATGACGTAGCCTATGACAAGAGCACCGGTACTGCTCACCAGAATGACGCTGACCCCCAGCTGGCTCTCTGTTCGTGACCTGTTGCATTGCAAATCGTCAGTCGTATCAGTCGTATTAGGACCACTGGGCCAGGAAAAGGGTTTCCCGGACTCTAAGGGCGGAACTGGACCATAAATCCTCGTGAAAGCTTCTCCGCTTTCTTTCCATGTTGGCAGCACCACACGGATGGGTCGTTTACCATGTGCGGCGACGGACGTTTGGGTGATGCCCAAAGCACCTCTCGAAACACTGGCATCGTAAAGGCCAGGTGTAATCCGAAAGCACCGAAACATGTAACACTGGAACGCACAATGTCGCGGCGATAGCGCCTTCGTTATATTTCCTGTTTTCCTCTCCCATCCCGCTACCGCACGCTGTCAGTGCGTCGATCACGCATGCCGTCTTGACGACATCGGTTGAAGGCTAACTCCTGTCGTGCGACAAAAACTTAATCGCGTTTGTTTTATATTGCCTTATAAGCCGTTCTACTTCCATATTTGATGCATGATTCATGCAAACCAAGGAAGTAAAGTACGTATAACTGTGTCACGTTTTAACGGTCCATCGGAAGCGTTTCGCTTGGTCAGTGAAAATCATGGTGCGACTGAGCAACCCAACTTTTACATGCACTTAGCTAACGGAACAGTACAGAGCCGTGCCAGTTATCGGAGGCAGGAAGTATGCTGGGTATTCGGCTGTGACGGGAGAGGGCGCCAGGCCGACAGCCGTTCGTCGGCTCGCCGCCAACTACCAGCTTGGTAGTTGACTTCACCAAGACCATCCAAGCGCGGCGCGAGCATTGCATGACCCCCGCCAATTCCACAGGTCAATGCAAACCCAAGTCCGGAAAGCGGCGCTTTCTCTCCACGACGATTCCGGCGCGCGCTCCTCGTCCCGGAAGTTTCAGGCCTGGCCATGTGACCCCGCCGGCCGTGCTCGTGACGGGACCGTGATCACGTGACGTCGTGACGCGCGGGGTCGGCGGGCCGGTGACCCGTCCCTGGGAGCGGGGCGACGGCTGCCGCTGCGGCCGCTGTGCGACGCTCGTCTGCAGTGCGGGCAGTTATCGCGGTCATTACGCGGCCTGATAGGGCGCGGGGCACCCGCCGCACCTGCCGCCGCCGCCGCCACAATGGGCCATAACGTGGCGGCCTAATGTCAAGCCTGTCACCGGGCCTTGAGCGTAAGGCTAAGGCCACGGAAGATTGGATGATATGTAACACCATCGCCATTCTTTACTATCGGTGAATGCCATTCGTATTGATGGCATGCTGTTTTACTCAGGTTATGTGATGACTCGATAACAAGCTTACTAGTTTATCAGTTACCTGGGACATGTGTGTGCTCTCGTTCGCTGCCCATTGACACATCGCCCCACAAAACCCGAACAATAACACCGTCGTAGTGACCATTAATACATTTTGGATTACCCTTGCCTTGTTTTGTCGTGCACCGAGCTACGGGCGCTGCTACTGATAGTGACGACTGTTAGCTAACGGTAGACTGTCGCTGATCGACCGAGTGCTACCGGCCAGCCGGCTGTTCCGTCTCGACAGACGGCCAGCTGTCACCGATCGGCGCCAGTCCGCCGCCTCTCAGCGGCAGCCGTCGGGCCGAGCTCGCCGCGCCGCCGCCGGGCGCCGTCAAACCAGCCGGCGGGGCCGCGCCTCTCCGGTTCAGCGGGTCAGCAGGCGCTGGCCGGGCCGGCCCAACGGTCAACAGCGCCGAACGAGCGCCGAATACCGTACGGTCACTGATGCACGACGCGATTGTCCCACCTGGATATGAGCAGATCCTTCTGCTTCAGCGCGGCCTGGAGGGCCTCCATCTCGATGGCGAGATGGGAAGAGGCCGTCGCACAGTTCTTTGTCTCCGGAGCGAGATCGCAGGAGATGGTTGCGAGACCACCTGTCTCTCTAACGAGATCACAGGCGTCCCGGTTTGGATTGTTCGCGCTCGGGCGCGGGTCGGAGGTGGCTTTTCTAAAGTTGGCGTTTTCCGGAACTAGGCCACAGTTCTCCTTCGCGGCGCTGTTTGTATCCATGATGAGATCCAAAACGTTCGTTGCTTTCATGTGGCGGCTTTCCGTTACCTTCAGTTTTCCTACGGCTGCCATCTGAAAGGGATATAAATTAAGAAGTGTTTGAAATACACATGAGCAGCATACCAATGGGTATTAACTGGAACTGAAAACGGAGTTTGGAAAAATATATGTCACAACGTGAGTCATCATCAGTGTCGGTGAGATCCATGGGGATTAATGTTGGTAAATCCTGTGAGGAGATAAGAAAGGACGCAATTTTGCTCTGCTCCTTTCCGCGCAAAGACGACACAATGAAGCGAATGCACATCTTTACTGGAGGCGGGCGAGTGTGTCACTCCCTCTGCCGTCCTCTCCGCTTGCCTCGTCCCTAGTGGCTATACACACTTTGCTCTGTAAATGCAACCTATTTGAGTTATATGCGCGTTGTGGCACGACAGTGGAGCGATTGCTGTTTGAGACACGAGGGAGTACGCGAGCGTTCAAATGACGCGAGATCGCGTGAGCGCTCAAATCCGAGCCGTTCGGATCTGGCAGCGCTCTGCGCTCTGGCAGCACGCTGCTCCAGTCCTTACTAGCTTTATTTTACCAGCTACTGAAGGCAGAGCGAGCCGTGCCCGCCCAGCCACGGGTGGCGGCGCGATCGGCCGGCCGATATCGTTAGGGCGGCCGCTCGCCCGGACCCGGTGCCGGGGCTCGTCGGACGGTTCCAGCCGGCCCAGCGGAGGCCGCCGGCTGCCGACCAGCCCGCCCCACCCTCATTAGCCGGCCTGCCTGAGAGCGGCGGTGGCGTGCGCCGGCGCGCGGACACGATCACTGATTGGCCGGCTAATCCTCCGGGGTCAGACGGGAGAAAGAACGCCGCCCGACCCGCCAGCTTCCGGCCGCTGGCGCCGCGCGCGGCCCGTGGAATGTGGACGGGACAGGCGCGGCGGCGGCCGGCCGTCCGGGTCAGACTCCCACGCCGGCCGGTTCGGTGCCGTATGTCCGGCCGGGCGCTGAGCAGCGCAGGCGACTGCCGGCACCCCTGCCAGGCAGTCGCCTCTGTTGACCGCGCTGCTGCAGACGTCACGTCTCCGGCTGCAGCCGGTGGGCGAGGACGCGGCTGAAACCGGTCACCGGTGGCCGCGCCGTGACGTGGGCTGTCCCGAATTTGGGCAGGGGCCCGGCGAGGGAGGAAACATCGGCGTCACCAGTCATGCAGGGGCGGGCACGACCGCTCGGCTGGCGGCCAGCTCGAGAGTTCCAGGTCAGCGGCCGCGCGGCATTGCCTCGCCCCTGATGTCCCCGATCCAATGCAAACAGGGCGCAGGTTCGCTGGCGGTCTTTCAGTCATGGCTGTCATTGGTGTCGGTGCAGAAACGCTAGCCTCCCGCAGGCTGCACGTTTTATCGGTGAACTGAATCATTCGCAAGTAGTTTCTGTGTAAATGGAAGGACCGCCAAGTCTAGAGATCCAGCCCACAGACTGTGTGAGGGTTGTGTGAATTATAACTGAGGTAATATAGAACACAATTATGGAACTCTGGAAACGGCAAAAATGGTTTGTTTCTTTGCGTTCGCTCTGCAGTGTAATGGATCGAAATGTGTCCAAGTCATCCAGCGCGACGGCTTGATGGTTTGGCATACACTCGCTTTAAACGTAATAAGGGCATTGCGACATAGTTGTCTGTGACCACTCTGCCAACTGACTCCCTCAATGGGTTAGATAGGCAGCAATTCGTCTGAAGTCGGTCACGTCATGCGGTTAGTTGGCCCTCCATTGGTGGTAATGGGCATAATGGCCACGGGTAGAGGAGCACAGATGATATCATCTCAATTTATACGCCTTTCGTAGGAAGTGGACCAACTGGATAAACGACTATCCACATCCCGCTGTAAAGCAAGACCAAGACACGCATCAAAATTCGGCGTGTTTTGGTGAGCATGTTTGCAGCCGATCAGATATGCATTCTGCATTCATATCCACTCATGTACATGGTGCTAGAACTCTCGGCTGGTTGATCTGGATGTGGCTGTAGAATCGCGGATTGGTCAATTGATCCTGATTCAACCTGAAATGGCTGACACCGGTGAGGTCAAAACCTGGAACCTTTGCTTCCGAATCGGTTTTAGAGCTTAACGAAAACAAACACACACACAATTTACGAAGATTGCGCTGTTATGGTATGCACTCGAGTGTCAATGACTTTCATCAGGAAGTGCCTGAATCTTCGAAGTGGTGTTATGGATTTTGAAATCGTCTCCCGAAGCTCACGATTTCGTTGATTGCGTGTGTGTGTGTGTGTGTGTGTGTGTGTGTGTGTGTGTGTGTGTGTGTGTGTGTGTGTGTGTGTGTGTGTGTGTGTGTGTGTGTGTGTGTGTGTGTGTGTGTGTGTGTGTGTGTGTGTGTGTGTGTGTGTGTGTGTGTGTGTGTGTGTGTGTGTGTGTGTGTGTGTGTGTGTGTGTGTGTGTGTGTGTGTGTGTGTGTGTGTGTGTGTGTGTGTGTGTGTGTGTGTGTGTGTGTGTGTGTGTGTGTGTGTGTGTGTGTGTGTGTGTGTGTGTGTGTGTGTGTGTGTGTGTGTGTGTGTGTGTGTGTGTGTGTGTGTGTGTGTGTGTGTGTGTGTGTGTGTGTGTGTGTGTGTAGGTGAGGGGTTCGCATAGAACGCCAAGAGAGCGAGCTTTGCGCGTCAAAACTTGCTGTTTGCTATGGGGATTCTTTACAGCAAAAACACTTTCTTAAACTTCTTAATATGGTGAAGGAAGAAATTTCTTTAGACAGGGCAAAGATGTGAATACATGCTGAGCTTTAACGTCGACTAACTATTTGAAAAGCTGTGAATTAACACCACATTTTCAACGAACGCGCAATTGTACATACAGACAGAAGACTAGATAATGCGATCTAGGTGTTAGGCGTAGATATACGATGGTCGCTGTGAAAACGTGGATTTGGACAAATTTGAGGGCAGGGCAGCCGTGGCTGGTGCCAAGATGCCTCTTGTTCTTTGCTATTAAGCATAAAAGAGATGCCTCGAGATGAAGCAGAGGGGCGTTTAATGCATTGAGTCTTCTACACCCAGTCCAATCCAGTCCCATATTTTTGAAGCTAATTTGTCCGCTTTCCATGTTTTCACAAGCGGAAAGCCCCATCCGAACCGACCCAATCCAGTTAAGCAAAAAGGACTTTTACCACCGAGACTGCAGGCCGGGTTAGTCCGTCTTCAACAAAAGGGAAATTTTCAGCTTTGGTGGCCCGACCCAGCCGTCACACACCCCGAAAACTAATGACTTTGCAACCGGCATCTGAAGGATCATATGGTTTTGAGCAACAATAGATCCACCTGTTCAGAACTTGCGCTCGATACATTGCTGGGTTTTGATGTGTAAGAGATTAATGACTTGTTTTTGTTGCAAAATTGCAATGCCGCCAACTCATCTTTACCATACGATCCACTTGAAAAACGTCAAGCGTAGAATTGCTAACAAAACTTAGAACACGAGTCGGAATCGTATTTAGATCTAGATGACCCGGGGACGCAGGAACGCGAAACTAACAGATACTAACGGAGGAGAACGCAGACAACCGGGGAGAGGCAGCAGGTTTGAGCAGGTGTGCAAACGGTCATGTGTTCCAGTGTATAAACCATAGACCTCCTCGTTTGGGACATTTTTAAGGAATGACATTGGATCTCAGCAACAGAAACAGAAGAAGACGTCCAGCAAACTGCCAGGAGAAGGCACAAGCACTGGCTACATCTCACTGATGAATCGCAAAACTGCGACTCGAGGTGCGCCAGCCATCGACCGAAAATGGCCTGTCATATCTATTCCAAAGCCGACCTCGAATACCAGACAATGTGTTCTATACCGAGACAGCTTGGGCCACGGCAGCTACGAAACAATATATCCCTTTTTGGGACCAACTGCCATCCAGGATAATGATTCGGTCCTTCCCTGGTGTACGTTTATGAGCAGCGGCCCACTTCAGTTTACAGGTATTTTAGTTTAGTTTACACTCTATTTCGTCTTGGGGACCACCTGTGCTTGCGCGTGTGGGTGACGTCTACCGATTGGTTAGAGGACCCAATCAGTAGACGGTAGCCAACTTCCTTACTTCGGCTTGGGGTGATCCTCTACTAAGATACTGAGGCGTTCCTGCAGGTACCAAAGCTAGGCGCGTGCTCATCATGGACCCTGACTAGTCTCCTCTGCCTGGGTTTGGCGTCTCGCCTTCGAAGCTTGCGAGTTGGAGCATAGCTTTGTCTAGGGTAAGGGCGTGCCACGCTACGTGGGGTTAGTCCTTCTACCTGGGTATAGGGTGTCCCTATCTCCGGTTTGAGTGTTGTCCATTCGCCTGGATCTCGGGGTGCTGTTCTTCTTCTACCTGGGTTTAGGGTGTCCCTATCTCCGGTTTGAGTGGTGTCCATTCGCCTGGATCTCGGGGTGCTTTTCTTCTTCGGTCTTGTGAGGCCCAGCGTTTGGTTTCTTGTGATGCGGACACTAATCGGGCCAAAAAAACATCACAATCCCACGTGCTTAGGGTTTCTGTGGCCTCTCGGTTGCCCACTGCGTAAAGATAGGATATTATAATAATACACTGATTACGGTTGACCAGATCGGGAATAAATCCCACCTCAAACCAACTATCAAAGTTGTTATGAATACATCACGAACTGTGGCGTAAGCAGTCTATGTTGGCCGGTGACATTGATCCATGCACCTCATGATTGATTAGCAGTGCATGAGTTGGTTGTAAGCGACTGGATCGATGGTTTTCCCATTTTTAGCCGTAGATGGTAGTAACATTTCGGTTCAAACGATGTATCAACGCCAAACTTGGCACACCATCACATATAACATTGCTTGCTCCTTATTCCGTTGCTCATGCAATTACAAATGTAGCGATCGGGATAATCTATTGCAGGTGCTGGTTTTACACGTGCCAGACATTAAACTGCGTCAAAACGTATCCCGTGTTTCGCCGACGTCAAGATAATAACTTCCCGATCGCCACTTCAGCTGCCACCACAACAGTCACCACACCTTGATGGGCGAGCGGTGCGCAGTGCAGCTCACACCGGTGGCGTGTGGGATATCGCCGCCAGATCTCGCCAACAGCATGTCACCAGTGTTCATGCGCACCGCGCCCCTGGCACGTGTGGGGGGGGGGGGGGGAGGTTCATGGTCTTTCCTGCAAGAGGCCCACCCAGGATCACACTGACCTGGGCTGTCGAAGACCTGCTCCGATTCGATGACACCGTGGTCGATGGTTCAGTTCCAGCTTCCGCTGTCCGACGGCCGCTGGGCACGGCTGGGCGCGAAGGCAAGCCAAGTTCGAACGTTCAGCCAGCATCCGACGGCTGTGGCCTGCTAGTTCGGCACAGGGCAAGGTCACAGTGGCAGTGTCAGGTCGCCTCTGACGCTATCATAGCTCAGTACTCCGGGAGATGAGGTCGCGGTTCGAACCGGTCGCAGCGGACAGACCACAGCCTGATCTCGAAGCGCTGCTGGACCGCGCTCCTCCTGCCGTACCAACGCAGCCAGGTCGGGTCGGGTCACCGTCGGGCTGCGCACCGGCGACACCAGGTCGCCAGGCAGCACTGCCTGCGTCGGGCTCGCCGCGGCGCTGGCTGCGACCGCGTGCCGTCCGCCCGTCCGACTGCCGGCCGCCGCCGCGAGAGGAGGTCAGCGCCCGGTCGGGTCGCTGGCGCCCTCTCCCGGAGCACGCCGGTCACGGCCGACACGGGCCACGCTGCGCCGCCGTCGCTGGGTCAGCCGAGCCGCCGCCTCCGCCAACGGTACTGCCGAGCGGGTCATGCGGAGCGCGGCCGGTCCGGTCCGGCCGGGTCGGGTCGGGTCGCTCTGCAGGGCCCACTCTGGCTAGGGCCGGCACGTGGACGCTGAGGGACCGGCAACGGCTGGCCGACAGAGGCTCCGCGTGCCGTGAGCGACGATGGCGGTCACGCTCTCGCGGCGGATGGCGTGCCGTGTCAGCAGTGGCCGGATGTCTCACCACGTGTTTGGACCAGTCCAGGGAGTTTTTAAAAAAATGGTTTGCACCACTGCACCGCGCAAGACTAGACTGATTTACAGACAACGTGCTGAACGCAGCCACACCATGCTCGTGTCAGGTCGCCCCGTTCCGCTTCCGGCCGCCGACATTTGCTGTAAAGTGACCTGGCATCCGATGAATTTGGTAAACAGGGGAGCAGGTCTCATCTGCTGCGGGAAGGCGTCCCACCTGCTCCCTGAGCAGTGAAGGGACTTTGTCTAGCGAGCTAGCGTCCATTCCCTTCAGTTAACTGAAAAACAAATATCGTCACTACCAAGAGCGAAATGCCGTTCCGGTCGTTCACTGAATTGACGAAGATGTTGACATTGATGATATCTGAACTGCAAATCCCCTGCCTTATAAAATGCGACGTTCCAGGCTATTGGCTGTGATTATGATTACAACCATGATTCACCCACTGACCATGATTGCTACTTCTTTTTTAACAAAAAGGAAAGTGGGCGACGAAAGGCGCGTGGGCACGCAAGGACGAGGCCACGGGAACTACGCGTTTAAATGTGCCAAAAATGGGTGAACCAGATTGACTTCAGGACTTTTGTTGTACATGACTGATATCTAGGATCTTGCGACCAGAAGCAGAGGCCTTTGGATCGCGCGGACACACAGCTGAGTATGGTCACTAGGGAAGTCCCGTTCGTCCCGGAAAAGATCGAGGGTGATTGTTTGCGAGATCGGCCAGTTGTCGTGCTTCAGTGCAGCTGACCGGCACCTGTCGCGGTCCTCTCAGTCCGTGCCGCGCCGGCTGAAGCCGTGATGTTTCCCTGGGTGTCCCCAGTACACATCCCCGGGCAGCTCAGCGGCGATGTCGGTACCAACGCTCGGCGCGGCACACTTCCCTAATGCCCCGCACCGTGCCACGCCTCACTTGAGCCTCCGAAAATGGGAGGCTCTGATAAACGACCAAACCGACGGGGTCGACACGGGCCGGGTCATGTTCAGACAGCCAAGCCCGTCAATAGGTCACATTAGGCATGTATGGCGAACCACGTCAGCTCGTGGACTGATCGGAAAGTTGTCCTCAATTGGTGACGAGGTGCGCTTGAGCATCACATTGCCTGAGGTGACAGGGGCTCCTCAGCTGTGATGAGCGGGTGCGCTTGCTAGCAAAGCAGTTATGTCCCCGAATCGTGACATTTGGACAGCAATCATGGTTTTAGGGGCGCATGTTTAACGCCGGTGAGCTCGAAGGCCTAGAAATGTAAAACAGATGGTATGTAATTAAGAGATGCTTGTTTGAGAACACCGTACTGCACAGCTTTCGACGTCAAAGATGATTTAACTACGCTATGGCCTTTATCAGTCGGCCCCATTGTCCTCTTTCAACGAAATAAACGAATGAAACCGTCGAACCTTCGCAGATTTCTTGAGAGTCAATTGCACTGAGTCGCTGGGCTATCACCATGAGGTGTACCACTTTGTTGTAACATCCCTTGAATCTCTCGGCTCGCTGTGGTGGTGATTTGGTTTTTAAGGGCGCATCGGCATCGGGGCCATTTTGCGCCCACTCTCGGCTCTCTGTAGCAAAGCAGGTGTCAGCCAAATTTTTCCAATATGAAGAGTATATCACATATTTGGTGTGCCTGCTTCTACCGTTGAGACAGAGCGCTGCGATGGTGTGCGGGCTAATAGCATGGTACGATCTGCAACGATGGCGCAGGCGACAAAAACGATGGTGTACGGGCCGATAGCATGGTAGGTCCTGCAACGATGGCGCAGGTAACAAAAACGATGGTGTGCGGGCCGATAGCATGGTAGGTCCTGCAACGATGGCGCAGGTGACAACAACGTTTTTCGACTTTCCACAGATTTGGGGTCCACAGTAAATCACGTCCACTGTTACCCGCAGCTCGATTTTCACCTTCGTCTGCTGCTCCACACCGCGTATTATCAAATGTAAGACTGCAGTGGTAGCAGCACCAGTAGCAGTAGCAGCAGTAACAGATGCACTTACCGTGGTGGGGGTAGCAGCAGGTGATGTAGCGGTCAGCGCGGCGCAGTTGGCGATGTAGCGGCCATCGCGGCTCAGTGGGCGATGTAGCGGCCAGCGCGGCGCAGCAGGCGATGTAGTGGCCAGTGCGGCGCAGTTGGCGATGTAGCAGCCAGCGCGGCGCAGTTGGCGATGTAGCGGCCAGCGCGGACGTCCGTCAATCTAGCAGCAGATTGATATCCAATTGCCGGATGGATATTGCGGGGCGTCTCGATTGCTTCCAAATTTGGTGTGCGGGGCCTTCTCAACACGCTGATTTCGAAAATCACTGCCTTTAGGGTGGGATTTTACGTAATTTTCGAGTTATACGACGCGTAACACCCCAGTTGGATGTTGCGTGGCGTCTCGGTTGCCTTCAAATGTGTTATCCGGGGCCTTCTCAACACGCTGATTCCGAAAATAGCTGTCATTGGGGTGGGATTTTGCGTGTTTTCCGTGTTATACGCCGCGTAGCAACCCAGTTGGATATTGTGGGGCGTCTCGATGACCTCCAAATTTGTTTGCAGGGCCTTCTCAACACGCTGACCACCGGTGTGTCGACGCCGCCGGCCTGTCGGCTATCAGCTGCTCGGGCCCCCTGACCACCGGTGTGTCGCCACGGCCGTCCGGCAGGCTTGCGTAGTGCAGCGTCTCCACCACGGTCAGCAGCAGCGGGCTGATGTGGCCGGCCAGCCAACAACATGGGCATGGCGTGCACAAGTAGCATGCGGTGCTCCACCAGCGTCACCAGCGTCCTTGGGAGATAAGACAAACGGTGGCATCACCCAAATCTTCAGGCTCCAGCGGTGAGGCACGATTGGTTTGGTCACCAGTGACATCTTGTCAGTTTTTGGTCAGGACAAACAATGGCCGTGACTACGTCGGACTATTACTCCACCACCTTAAAGGTCAGAAACGAAACAAAGCTGAGTGGGATGCCACTGGGTGATACCACCAAGTCAATGATATCACATTTCACACGATTATCACTCGCATCTCGCGAACTGACCTTCTCCATTGAACTGATACGGATAGGCCCAAAGGCGAATTCCAGGACACATATTCCAAAGCGCAACTCAGGTGTCACACGTCGAATAATTCGGAAGTTACGCAAAATCCCACCGCACAGACAGTGATTTTCGGAATCAGCGCTTTGAGAAGGTCCTGCACACAAAGTTTGGAGGAAATCAAGACGCCCCGCAATATCCAACTGGGGTGATCCGAGTCGTATAACTCGGAAGTTACGCAAAATCCCACCCCAAAGACACTGATTTTCGGAGTTAGCGTGTTGAGAAGGCCCTGCACACCAAATTTGAAGGAAATCGAGACGGCCCGCAATATCCAACTGGAGTGTTACGTGTCGAATAACTCGGAAATTACGCAAAACCCCACCCCAAAGGCAATAATTTTCGGAATCAGCGTGTTGAAAAGGCCCTGCACACCAATTTTGGAGGCAATCGAGACGCCCCGCAATATCCAACTGGGGCGTTATACGTCGTATAACTCGGAAATTACGCAAAATTCCACCCCAAAGACAGCGATTTTCGGAATCAGCGTGTCGAGTAGGTCATGCGCACCAAATTTGTAGGCATTCGTGACGCCCCGGAATATCCAACTGACAATGTGATATCAGGTTGCCGCTAGATTGACGGACGTCCAGCGCGGCGCAGTGGGCTATGTAGCGGCCTGCGTGACGCAGTTGGCGATGTAGCGGCCAGCGCGGCGCAGCGGGCGGTGCAGCGGCCAGCGCGGCGCAGTTGGCGATATGGCGACTAGCGCGGCGCAGATTGGCAAGCCCGTCAGCGGACGGCAGAGGCGTGGGAGCTGTGCGTTGGCACGTAGTATTGTCAGGGTGCCCTCAGCATGTTACCAGAGGTTACCTGCGCCGTGTATCTGACCCGTGACCTGGACGTTTTGGGAATGTCCCTAACTTGAATATCCCGAGCAGAGTCGGGTGCAGTGCCACGATTACTTTCCGATGGTGTTATTGCGGGTGTGTCGTGTGCTCACACCTTTGACCTTGCGCCAGGAATGCCCAGAGTCATGGGGTAGGGCCATGCCATGTCGATGCCGTGGATAACTAGCGCGTATGATCGGACTTCGGCTCGACTCGAGCTGAATTGCGAATTGGCTGGCGAGCCAATCGTTTTGGGGTGAGCCGCGAGCTGAGTCGGCTCGCTAGGAAAAACGTCGCTTTGGGCCATGAGCTGCTTCACATCCTTCGTAAATTTCAGGGAGGAACAGGGAATTTCAGCGAATTAGCGAGGAACATTAGCCACATAGATAGGACAGTAGCATAAGCATTATTCCCGGGAAAAAACAGGAGAATAGAAATATAGATTAGTTTGATAACCATTTGTTTGGCTGTCTATATTTATATTCATCTGTTTTTGTCCCGAGGAATAAGGCAATACTACTGTCTTACTGAAATTTGAAATCACGGCCATATGGGCGGGGTCCTTAATGAGATCTGCAGGTAGCCCTCCGGACTCTTTAGCTATCCCATCGGGCCCTTGACGTTTGGTCTAAAGAGAACCTTCGGCACCTCTTCAGGCCCCTCAAACAGCGCTCCGGCTCGGGGCCGTTCGC